CCTGGTCGAATGTTGGTGGTGGACTTGATGCCGGTGCCTTCCTTATCCGAGAGCTGCTTCAGGGCGCGCGCATTGCAATGTCCCATCCTCCGGTGCCAGACACCGGCATCGGTATCGGCACGGAAAACTAGCGGAGCACTAGGCAGGTCGGGATTCAGGTCGTCCAGGATGAGATTCACGACGTACATTCGAGGCACCTCTGCTGTTGATATGGGGAAAGACAGGTTCCGGCTTCGCAGGGCCGGAGGTGCCGAAAGTAGATCCGTCTTCAACCCCTTCTCATCCAACGCTCCGACAGAAAATATGTTTGCCCCAAGGTCCCGCACAAGCAAAACCTCCAACTCTATCGGGACGGGTTGACCTTTGTCATTCTTTAGTTTGAACTTCAGCGTACCTTTCTTGGTGGCGCTGGAGGTGCCGCACGAACCCTTGATGCGGACGTCGCAGTCAACCAAGTCGACTACATGTTGTGAGACTTGGCTCTCACCGCTTACCATGTGTCCCGAAGCGGCGGTGTCGATGAACACCCTCGTATTCTCGGCGGGCGCTGTCTTGTCCACTGCACGAAAAACGTTGGTGTACGCGACCAGCTCCTCATGCTGTATCGCGGCAGGCGGGTCCTTTTTCTGCTCGTAGGAGGCAGCAGGCACCTCGGTTTCCTCTGCTGTGGCAGGCGCAATCGGCACCTGCAATGGGACAGCACGCTCAAACAATTGTAGCGAAGCTGTGGCAGGCGCAGCCAGCACCTGCCCGACATTGGCATCGGACGCCTCCTCAGGGGTCGATGCAGCAGGCGCAAACGGCACCTGCTCGGGATCGCCTATGGCGATGTCGAATGATTCCAGCGTGAGGTCTACCTCGCGTGCGTGCGTGAGCCACGCCTGTGTCGTGGCTTCCGCGGTCGTGTTGACCTGCTGCTGCGGTCGCTGTTGTTCACGGCTCGAAAGCCACGTGGCATTGGAGGCGCGAAGCGGGCAGTTCGTCCAGGTGTGTTCCGCAGAATTGTGACAGTAACTGCATAGGCCGTCCCTGTCGTACCCGCGTTTTTGCTGCGTGTGGTTCGACCGTCCAGAGGACCGGTTGTCGGAAGACGCACCAGCTCCGTCGCCAGAGGTCGTTGCTGTTGTTCCCCCTCGTGGACCCGTTGTTACGGTTCGACGAGTTGTTCCAGCTGCCACGCCGTCGTCCACCGCGCTGCGCGCGTCCACGGCCATGATGACCGCCGCCCTTACGGAAAGAACGCGCTCCGCCGTGTGTGACGGTATTCAGCGCACGGCTGCTGCTTCCGGATAAGTTCTTCGACGCAATTTTACCACGAATGTTCATCGCGTGGAACGAAGTGGCTCGGTCGGCGACCTCCTCGAAAGACANCTCGGTCGGCGACCTCCTCGAAGGACAAGACGCTCCCAACAGCTTGGCCGCACAGTAGTCCTGTCTTGAACTCTTTGTGGTAGTCGTCCGGCAGTCTTTTAGGAAAGCGAACGTCTTTCGGTTGTCAGCCACAGTGTCGTTATACACGGCGAGCTCCGTGCAGATCCGGCGCATGTCTTGAATAACATTGGCCGGGTCAAAGTCGTGGTCCGCAGTAACTGCCAAAGATTTGAACTTCTCGTGCAGCTCCTGCGTACGGTATACCCCACCTGCCTGGTACTTTCGTTCCAGGGCGAGGAAGGATCCACGACCGTCTCCGTTGTAGGAAGACCCGATAGGCGCGTATGCCTGCACAGTCTGCGAGGCCGCGCTCTGGTAGCCCCCGGTTTCAGATGTGGCGAGCATCAGCCGTGTAAAGATCTGTCCGTTTTTGTCCTGGTATCCTTCCAGGGCAGATTGGTATGCCGAATTCTGGTCCGGCGTAGCACTAGGTCCGGGATCCGAAGGGGCTTTCTCCACTCCCAACAGAACCTTGTGCAGCTTGTCCTCCATAAACAAGGAGGTCTGCAGGGTTCGCCAGCCGACGTAGTCGCCTGGGTCACCACTGAACTTGGCGAATCCTCTTCGGATGTCGCCTGACGAGCCGGTGGCCATGCTTACCGACTCTGGTGATTGTGGTGTACAAGCTCGAGCAACTCGAGGCTCAAAAAAAAAAACTGTTGAGGCAACAGCACTGTCACTGCAGTCGCTGTACAGCTATTCCTTCAGCTGTGGCTACGAAGTAGCTGGCATGTGATGCGAGTTACAACGAAGTGATGCTGTATAGACTACATGAATACGGCCGTTGCCTTCGTGTTGGCAGATGATGTGTGTGTGGAAGTGAAACACGTCAATGTACTGCGTGGCGAATGGTACGCTGTATGAACTCTTGGTGTACGGCGCCCTTAAATATCTCGCAAGAAACGATGTAGCTTACGTGTATAGACACGGCACGGCTAAACACCCCACCGGTGCCTCGCAAGAAACGATGTAGCTTACGTACTTCCTCTGTCACATAAGTAAAGTCCGTTATGATTACACGGCCATTTAGCCGTGTCCGATGTCTT